TCTGTAGTTATGCTGTACCGCATACACGAGTGCGGGCGGGTTGCCTGCTCGCTCGGCTCGTAAGGCGCCGTGGACAGGGGCGATAGGCAAGCCCGCCCGCACTCGTGCATGCGGCACAGTATACCTACAGAAGTGCGCGGCGTGAATCAGCCACCTGGTATACCACACTTTGTCGAGAGAGGCTCTGTTGTTCTTTTGTAATGGATACCCAGAAAATACGTCCGTATTCGCCGTGACTAACCTGCCAAGTTTAGCCCATGCGAGCTCTCATAGCGCCTGGTAGGTAGGCAACATATTTCCTGCAGTGCATACGTGCAGTGAGGGGTGGCCTACCCCGAGTCTCGCAGGGGCCGAGCTCCTGCAGTCTGCCGAATAAATCTGAGAAGAAGCGGACGTATACTTTCTGGACGAACCCCTAACACTTTTAATACATCCTAATAAAAAGACAAATTAAATAATAAATGATGAGGTTGAGGGGGAGACACTTTTGAGCCTTGGACGGAGGAAGAAGGGGATTGAGGGTCGTTTTGGGCTGGTGTCTGGAACAACAGCGCGGGTGGCACGGCACGGCGTGTCGAGGCGGCCAAGGCCGAGGCCGACTTGGGCGGCCGACAATGGCCTGACGGGGCCTGACGAGGCCGGACGGGGCGATAGGTATGCAGTCTATGGTCTATATTGAAGTGGACGCGGCGGACTCCCGCTCCCCTCACCACGCGCCCTCCTCGAACTGGGAACGGGGGGGCAAAGTTGGGGTACGGTTGGTATGGAATCGGCCTGCTTCTGACTTGAAGCATCTCAATCTTGCGGCGAGCTGCTGCCCCTCCTCCATGCCGCCGCCGCCGTAGCCGCCAGGGTCATCCTGGGGGGCCCGCCGGAGGAGGCGGCCACGACGACGGCCGCGTTGCGCCATGACGTTCACGATTACGACGCTTTAAAGCTGTCCGCCAACACGTCACCCTATAGGATGGGGCTGCGCCTTGCGGTGGCGCCATGGTCCAACGCGGCTACTTTTGGACCTCTGGATATAGCATTTAAATTTTCCAGAAAAAAACGTTTAAAAATCTTTTGTTTGACGATTTATATATTTTTCAAAGTAGGTAAAAACTATTCAATTTTTCTAAAACGTTTTTTTTTTTAACTCCTATTTTTTTTGTTTTTTGAAAGGTTACGAACTTTTCCAGAAATTCGCGATTTTTCAATCCCTACTCCGGCTGCGCCCTCGATTGTCTGAGTCTCAGCAGCGGAGCCCGCACCGCACACGCACACCCCCACCTCGTTCACCTCCGCACTCCCTCCCCTCCAACAACACCCTTTTGGTGCGTCACAACGTGATGGAGTCCCCGTGGGGGCAATTCCGCGCATTTTGCCCCCTTGAAGCAAACCTAAACATTTTTATCATCCACAGCAAAGACGTCTATATAGCATCCTCCTGGAGATTAGGTTACGGTTGCATGATTGATTGATCGCCCTGTTTGTGTTTGTTGCAGATGCCGGAGAAGCTGCGGGAGGGCATGACGGGCTTCAAGGACCGTCAGATGCGGCGCTTCAGCCTGCCCACCAGCTCGCGCGGCCTCCTTCGGGTGGGGGGTGCCTTGCCCGGGGGGGCCGCGGCGGGGGCGGCCTCGGGGGCGGCAGACGAGCCGCGCAGGTCCTCGGTGGCCTCCGTCTGCTCCACCGAGTGTAAACACACCTTGCTTGCTTGCCATGTGTAGCCGTGTGTGCCTGTTCCAGTGCCTCTATCCTCTGTCTAGGATCCCCTAGGGGGTGGGGAGATAATAGATCTCGATGATAGGTCGAACCCGCTATGGGTTTTTCAACTCGGTATTCGCACCCCACCAATTATTTCCGAGATGTCGCTTTTTAATCCGTTGTTGTTTTCCGTTTACAGCGTCGTACACGGGCAGTTCGTCTGACGAGGATGACGTCTCCCCGAGGGAAAAACTACAAAAGAGCTCCTCGGGCTTCTCAGACTTCTGCGTCAAGAACATCAGTCAGCATGCATTTGGTCGGAGAGAGATTGAAATTGCCGAACAAGGTCAGGAAATGAATTGATTTGAAGGATGCATCCCCTGTCCGATTATTGTGCTCTAATTGTTAATGTTCTTTTCTTTTCTCTTTTTTCCCATCGAAACAGAAATGCCGGGAATTATGGCGCTAAGGAGAAGGGCAGGGGATGATAAGCCTCTGAAGTCCGCCAAGATAGTCGGATGTACTCACATCAATGCTCAGACTGCTGTAAGTTTTATATTAATTACATTTTTAGACAAAATATGATTCAATTTCTATTTCATTTGCATGTATGGTTGATGTTTCATCTACTTTCAGGTACTTGTCGAAACGCTAGTAGAACTAGGAGCCCAAGTCAGATGGGCTGCATGCAATATTTATTCAACGCAGGTAATTTTTTGGTTTAACGCCTTCCTAAATATTTATCCTCATGAAAAAAATTCCCACTTGTTACTGTATTATAATGTGTGAGTCTTTATTCTTCTTCTTCAAAACTTTTCAGAATGAAGTTGCGGCAGCTCTAGCTGAAGCAGGTATTGTTGATCTGACTGAACCCAATTGTACTTTTAAAAGCTGGAAGTTGAAGTGTTGTTTTCATTTCTGACCTACCATTCAATGTTTAGGATACCCTGTATTTGCCTGGCGTGGAGAGACTGAGGAGGACTTCTGGTGGTGTATAGACAAGTGTGTTAATGCTGAAGGATGGCAACCCAACATGATTTTGGATGATGGAGGTGATGCCACCCATCTGATGCTCAAAAAGTACCCAGCAATGTTCAAGATGATCAAAGGTAATCATGTGAACCCCAACAATGTTAATTTCTCATAAATTAAGACAAATTTAAACTCTAAACTTATTACAGGAATTGTTGAGGAAAGTGTTACTGGAGTCCATCGTCTCTATCAGCTCTCCAAGGCAGGAAAGCTCTCAGTGCCAGCTATGAATGTTAATGACTCTGTAACTAAGACAAAATTTGACAATCTTTACAGTTGTAGAGAGTCAATAATTGACAGGTTTGTAGACCCTTAATTGAGGTTTGTGGACACTTGTTACAGAGATCCCAGTTTCCTTATCTCTTTTCTTCCTTTTTCAGCTTGAAGAGAACCACAGATATGATGTTTGGAGGGAAGCAAGTTGTTCTTTGTGGATATGGAGAAGTTGGCAAAGGCTGCTGTCAAGCTCTTAAAGGCCTTGGCTGTGTAGTGTATGTCACTGAAATTGACCCCATCTGTGCTATTCAGGCTTGGTATGTTAAACTTTGCTCTCTGATTGTAAGATATCTTTGTTTTGTCTTTTTCTTGATATGTGTTACATTTCTAATTTTTTCAGTATGGACGGTTTTCGAGTAGTAAAACTGAATGAAGTGGTTCGAAATGTTGATATAGTGGTAACAGCAACAGGGAACAAAAATGTAGTGACAAGAGAACACATGGATAAAATGAAAAGTGGCTGTGTTATTTGCAATATGGGTCATTCCAACACAGAAATTGATGTTGTAAGTTTTCAAAGTAGCTGTTCAAGTCACATTTGGTCAACGTAACACTAAAAATTTAAATTCATGTGAATGTTTTTGCCATGCAATTTTCAGAATAGTTTGCGTACTCCTGATCTAACCTGGGAAAAAGTTCGATCCCAAGTGGACCATGTGATATGGCCAGATGGCAAGCGCATAGTTCTCTTGGCTGAAGGAAGACTTGTGAATCTCAGCTGCTCAAGTTTGCCTTCTTTTGTTGTTTCAATCACAGCTGCAACCCAGGTAAGTAACTTATTAAAGTAAATACAAGGTAATGACATTTTTTAACAGTCTTAACAATTTTACAATATTTTTGCTTTAGGCTCTTGCGTTGATAGAACTCTTCAATGCTCCTCATGGACGTTACAAATCAGATGTTTATCTTCTGCCCAAGAAAATGGGTTAGTTCAATATGTTCATCATCCTTGTTTTGCCTCTCCACATCATCGTGGCAGCTGATATAGTTACTGTCTCTCTTTTTCTATAAGCTTTGCTATTTTCTGATTACAGATGAATATGTTGCCAGTCTTCATCTGCCTACATTTGATGCTCATCTCACAGAGCTAAGTGATGAGCAGGCAAAATACATGGGTCTTAACAAAGCTGGTCCATTCAAACCAAATTACTACAGGTTTGTGAAAGTTCTGATTCCGTTGTGATGCCTGATGTTGTTTTAAAACATTTTACATGTACCATACACATTATTTCATGGCATTCTTTTTATCTTTCAGGTATTAAATGACAGAAAATAGAGGCATTTGTAGTTACACAGAGAATTAACAGGGCTACAATTTTAGGTTTGGTAAGCTTCCTCTGATGATTACAGTGATCAGGTGTTGCAATTCTAGGCTTTTTCGTGTCGTAAAGTAACAAAATGTTAGAAAATTATCTAAAATTCGTGTTGATTGTTGGTGATTAGTTATAAATGCTTTTAACTAGTTTTCATGGAACTTTGGTGAAAATTTGGTAAGGTGGACTACCTTAAATGACAGTGATAAATCAAGGCTTTTAAATCATAAGCGCCTACTCTGTAGCTGCTCTACAGTGCAATTTAGGCGTTTAAATAACGAAATTATTCTGAGAGATTGTTAGTAGCGTCAAATTCTGTGCTTGATTTGGTATGAAACTTACTAAGGCAACTAACTGGACCCCAAGCACTGCATTTATTGATAAACACACCAGTGTATACTTATAGGAATGTTCACAATTAAGGAATGTAGTAATTTTTAGTGAGGCAAATATAATTTGTGACAGAGTAATTTTCAGTATTTTAAGATATTGTGCCTGCCAATTTGTCAGGGTGAAAGGATCAATTGTAATTTGCTCAGAGAACATGAGTATCTGGCTGGCCTACTTATTGTTTTGTATTGTACTGTACAGTTGACTGATAGTGGTGAAAAAAAAATCGGTGCCAGTGTTTCCTATGGTACTACATTTTTTTAAATGTCTAATTTAATTTGGCATGAATGAGGAGAAATGGTTGGTGAGCTTAGAACAAAGTACATAATGTGGGCTGGAAACATCACTAAGAACAATATGTTAATTGAAATCGAACCATGGTTGCCCAGAGAAGTGACCAGAAATATATGGCATTGGTTTTATTTTAAGAGAAAAACAAAGAAAAAAAATGTGAACTTTATTTTCATAGTAAAAGGAGGTAATTTTTACCGAACAATTGTCTTTCTATTACTTACCAATCGGAAATGGACAGAACAGCCACCATCATAGTTCAATTCTGTGGTTGTCTTATTCTAATTTTAATATTAATTACAGTAACTAACTTATCGGTGAAATTTTAAAAGTGAATACTGTCATTTATTTTTCAACAGGTATAGTTCTGAAGTGACCTGTTATGCATTTTGTCAGTTTTAGGTGTGCTGCATGCAAGGTTATTCATTCCTTTGATTTTTTTATGTGAACAAATACAATATGTATCCATATTGTGATTTGTTATGATGTTTTCAGTGGTTATTCCTATTGATACTATTATTTGCTTATCTCCGTCCTCCCCATCTGATTGTGGAATAACTGTAACTGATAAATGTGGAAATGTGGACATAAAACAGCTGGACCCTTGCACCTTGCATACTGTCTTTAATCATCTGAATTTATTTTCAGAACACGAAGTTATTTTATTATTCAATTTTTAAAATGCTGCTGTTAGTTGACCAGACTGTGGGGAAAATTTCACATAAATAGCGTTTAGCATTCCATGTTCCCTATTGCCCAATCAGATGTACAAGTTAGTTGTATAGGTGGAGCTATTGTTTCTTAGTTAGCCTAATTTTGTTTTGAGTATTGTGCCCAGTAGTATCACATAGTTGTTCCAATATGTTATACCATCAATGTATTTTTAATTCATAATTTTGTGATACTATGTATTTCACTGGATATCAGGTGCTTTCAAGGTTAATTTTTTGATTGTCATTTCCAAATCTTGTTTTTGCAAGTGTTTTTAATTTCATGATTTCATATGAGATGTGATATTGGTAAGTACAGAGAACTATACCTCCCAATCTTACTAATGCATTCTTATTTTACCATTCAAGATTTTCAAGTTTTTTTTTTTTAACCATTCTCAAGTAGTGATGGGTCAACCTCCTCTTCCATAGATCTTCACTTAATCTTTACTTATAAAAAGCAGTATGTTTTGGACTCTCAGTTTCTAAAATTTTGTCTGTTGCTGATATTATTTCCTTCCCACTTCCCACTAAACTCCCTCTTATCAGCCAAACTATTTTGTTTCTTTTAATGGTTTTGTGTCATTTAAGAAAATATACATAGCTAAGTGGTTCCAGACTAAAATGCAGAATTGGAAGCTTTTTTTAAAAAAAAAACAAAAAAAAACTCATAATTCTTGTCCTCAGACATAAGTGAAAAGGCACTCCTCTGATGCCCAAGTTGGCTGTGTCTGTGATACTGTAACTTAACTAAAATCCAGAGGGACCTCAATATTGTAATTGCTTCGAAACTGTAGATATGACCCATCACATTTCGTTTTCATGAACTGTATTATGCTATGAATGTGGCTGAGGTGTGACTTTGGAGTTAAGAAAATCCATAATGACAATAGAATTGAAATCCATCCCGTGGAAATTATTGTTGATGTTACCTACTATTAATTGTTGAATATTTGAACAATAAAACATAAAATAAATGAAGAGTTCTCCTCACATAGGCTTGTTAGGAAGGAATTTATTGCAAACCATACCAGGGTATATGGATTGTACAGTGATGTGATGTTGTTACACATTTTCTTTTTAATCAAGTGTATAGTGCTACTCAGATACTTGAGGCTTGGCTAGTGCATTGCCCATCAAGTTGAACTTTGGATACAGTTGCGGGTATGTGATGTGAGTTGTAAATGCTCAGTCTCTTGATGATTTCTCACGACAAACCCTATGGGAAGTTTCATCTATCACCAAACTATACTTAATATCAGTTCACATCTGTTTGATTATAGTACATAGAGAATATCAGCAGTGCATAAGCTTGAGACATTCATGCCCTCTCCAAAGTTGAGGTATTTCTTGTAACCTGATAGTACTTTTACAATGTGTACACTCTTACTTTAAGAAAGTAAATTTGAAAACTGCCAGTGTTGTCTAAACTCTTTAAGATAATTTTCCCTTTATGGTTGTTGTAATTTGCTGACAACCATTCCCCAATCAGTGATCACCATCTGTGTGTTCGCAAATTTAAACAACCCTAAGAAGCCTCCACATTCATGTACCCATTTGATTTTAACTTTTTACGCAAATCCATGAGAAGTTTCAATTTTCTTATGGTATGAATGTGACTATAATTCCTGTGAATCACACAGGCTGAGCTGAATTTTTTACAGAGTATGGATCAACTCTTTCATGCTATTGTCAATCTGCCATCATGCACATTGCATACTGTATTATAAGGTATTGAATGTATTGTAGTTGTGTTACTGGGCTGTGTTGACTGCTATATCGTATCAGCCCTTAATTGTTGAAAGACATACTGTTTAATGTTGTTAAATGTAGCATGGTACTCTTATGCTGATATGGTACCCTGCAGCTAGGCAAGTATGAGTTGTAATTTTTGAATTGTTGACACAATAAACACTTTAAACCAATGAGGAACTTTTATGAGGCAATTAGAATTTTTCAATACATATAGGAAGGATGAAAAGATTTTATTTAGCCAAAACTAAGGGCAATTTTGAGCTATAAAGCTATAAAAGGGGCATAATCATAATCATTTAACAATACAGTTCAAATTTGGAGAAGTATTGCATCCAAAACAAACGTAAATATGGAATGCAGACATATTCAGTTACCATAAAGGAGATGGGCGATAAAACATTGTTATTTTGCTCTCATTTTTACCCATGTTTTCTGGGTTTAATGGCCGTATTTCTGGAATTCCCATTCTCTATTATCCAGGGGGCAGACTTGACGAGTCTTCAACCAGCGAGAAATGCAATGGAAATGGAATGCATGATTGCAAACCCCCCAGGCAACAGTACACTCATCACTAGTGGCAGATGCTTGATTTGCTTGACACTCAATACACAGATCCATAATGTGGTTGCGACAAATAGCACAGTTGTCAACAACAATGTCCCAAGCCCACAAAGCTACAGCATTCCACTTCTTGACTTCAAAGCGCTTCTTCTCTCCTTTGCTGCTGCTGGATGTAGGCAATTCCAACTCTTCTTCGTCAACATCCATAGCTGAACTGGCCATTCTGGAACAGAAGTAAAGAAATCAAGTTAGTATTGATCAATGATGTTAAAATTAGTCATTAACTGGGAAAAATACCTGGGCTTAAAGATTACTGTAGAAAGAAACATGAAAAATACATTGAAATATATGTGTTCCTAAAATTTAACCTCGATGGTTACAAAATTTCACAAAATGTTTAAAGTACAGGATTCTCTGAACACAATAGAATGAAAATAGACCGTTAATCAGTTCATTTTGGAAAAATGAAACTATTTAAGAAGTGAGAGATCTCACACGAGAGGCAAAGCTTTGAACGGAAGATGAACTAGATGCGGCGATGACAAAGACAAATTTAGTTCGACAGAAATTCCCAAAATGAAGACACCTACATTTTTAAAGCAAGTAAAGACAGTGTGAATTGATGCACAGAAGTACTTACTTCAGGAAGATTAACTAAACGACGAGTAGTATCAGAAAAAACACGAAATGATGCCTATCTCAGGGTTTACTCGTCAAATTTCATGAACGACAGATGACTGCATGCACTGCACACTGCAAATTTTGTCAACACCTCTAGAAGGCTGGCAATGAGAAATTGCGCTCTCAAAACTCAATTTTCGGGAACATCAAAGTCTCTAGTTTGAACTGGTATGAGCTTTCGAACGTGGTATTTAACATGCATTCTGTGTTTTTCTGAATGTGTAAAGTAGTTTAAAAGCGTGGTGTATGAGGTTTCAGATTAGAACAAGTGTTCTTCTCATACAGAATAAGAAGAACATGAAAATCAAAGAGTTCTCCGGAACGTTTTAACCGCGAACCGTGGAAGGCTGTCTAGAGGTCACGTGATCGACGTCCTTTCGTTCCTCCATTGGAGTCAAGACAGCAAGTGGCGAGTGCCCTCGTCAAATTTTCACGTCAAAGTCCCGTCAAAGCCGATCAAGATGCTCCAGAACATGTTCGAGGCGGCCAAGAAGAACCCGTTCTTCAACCCCTTCACCGTGGCGCAATGCCAGCCAGAGGAACCCTCGGCGTCACAGAGTTTGGTGAAGGGCCGCACCGTGTCTGCTGCAGCCGTCGAGGCCGGGGACAGCTGCGAATTCGGCTCCAACCAGTACTTTCTGCTGTGCGGGCTGGGAGGTATCTTGTCCTGCGGTATTACCCACACCGCCATCGTGCCCCTCGATCTGGTGAAATGCCGAATGCAAGTGGACTCCAAGAAGTACCCTGGCATCTTCAAGGGCTTCTCCGTGACCATGGCCGAAGATGGAGCCCGTGGTCTAGCCAAGGGATGGGCACCCACCTTCATCGGTTACTCCATGCAGGGTATGTTCAAGTTCGGTCTCTATGAGTACTTCAAGGTAATCTACTCCGACATTTTGGGAGAGGAGAATACCTTCCTCTACAGAACATCTCTTTACTTGGCTGCGTCTGCCTCTGCTGAGTTCTTCGCTGACATTGCCCTGTCACCCATGGAGGCTGTTAAGGTCCGTATCCAGACACAGCCTGGCTATGCCAACACTCTTCGTGAGTGCTATCCCAAGATTCTGAAGGAGGAGGGTATGAATGGATTGTACAAGGGTCTTGTACCCCTGTGGTGCCGTCAAATTCCCTACACCATGATGAAGTTTGCTTGCTTCGAGCGCACTGTAGAGCTGCTGTACCAACACGTCGTTCCCAAGCCTAGGGCAGACTGCACCAAGAACGAGCAGCTGGTTGTCACCTTTGCTGCTGGTTACATTGCTGGAGTGTTCTGTGCTATTGTCTCACACCCTGCTGACACTTTGGTGTCGAAGCTCAATCAAGACAAGGGTGCCACTGCTGGAGATATTATTAAGAAGATTGGCTTCGGTGGTCTATGGAAGGGTCTCACCGCTAGGATCATTATGATTGGTACCCTCACCGGTCTTCAATGGTTCATCTACGATGCTGTCAAGGTTTCCCTGCGCATGCCAAGACCTCCTCCACCAGCCATGCCCGAATCCCTGAAGAAGAGGCTAGAAGCTGAAGGAAAACTATAAGTTTAAGTTAATTTTAGTTAATTTACTTCACCAAGTGGCTGACCCTGACAGGATACTTGTAGGTCTAGTTGCACCGAGTTGTGATTCTGGCATTGTCTCATGTAGATCATGTTTGGCAGTGCCTCATATGTATGTCAAGTCATTTTTGAATGTCAGTCAGCACGATGTGATGGACAATGAATTGGTTAGATGGCTGTGCCACAATAACAAGTAATTTGAACCTCATTTCGATACCACCTCAAACATTTTTCTTTCTTGTCCGTGCATTCAGCCAGAAGTTCAATTTTCTTTTTTATTTAAACAGTTATCTTGTATTATAGTAATGTTGCTCATGACATTCGACTCTTATATTAAGACCAAATGTTATCCTATTGATTGTTCCAAACTGTCCCTCCTTTCCTTGCAATCCACATTTCGCCAAGCATTTATATTGTTACTATGTTGCATTTGTTATGTACGGTACATTCCAGTCTTATTCCGAATCTGATGGTTAATTATGTACAAATTTTACTTCGAGAACAGTCTATTAAAAAATTCCTGCTTTTATATCTGATTTATTTATTGGCACCATTGTACTTAGATCTGAATCTGAATACTCATAACTTGATAACACTGCAGCCTCCTCTCCTTCCTTTCTAAGCAAACGATTCAATAGACCTGCAAGACAACAATCTTGACACAATAAAAACTTACGTTACGAATTGCTCCTTAACAACAAAACAGGACTTTGCCTTCTGGTAGATACGGTCTTTTAGGGGACTGTCTAGAAAGGTCTGAAATTCTTGAACATATTCTTCGTTCGAGCACAACTTTGCAACCCACACGTCATTTCTCTGTGAAGGGGTAGTACCTAGAAAGTTGAGATGGAAACATGGAATGTAGAATTACTCAACACTGAAAAGATATGATTTTAAAATTATTTTTCAAATTTTACTGAAATCAAAAGGAAAGAAACTTCACTTCAACTTCAACAAGGCTTATCACGACGAAAGCTGGCCCAGAAGGGTGAGAGCGCCTGCCACGCGCAGGGTAGGCCAGCCACCAGGCAGCTGTGTGGAGGCGGTGGCCCTCCCTTCCGCCCGACCCGACCGGCGTCCGTGTTCTCCCGACCGTGTTTGTAGCTACAACACCGTTCGACGCAGCTTTAGACGCAGCATAGGGGCCAGGAGGATGGGAACCACTGAGCCGTAAGAACTCCACGAGGAATCCTCGGTGAAATGACCGGGGTTAAAGCAGTTAAAGTCCACTCGAAATTCAGTGGCCGGAGAAAAATTTCGATCTGACGCGGGGATTCGAACCGCCGACCTCCGCTCCGAGTCTGGCGCCGCACTGAACAACGAGCGCGGCGCTACATCACCACTGTGGGGAATGCCCACCAGGTAAGAGTCTAACCGGAAAGAAAAACGAACAAGCTCAGAGTATTCGAACCTGCGATCCCCGACTGTCACGGCGCTGACGTCTGACGTACACACGAGGCGTGCTGCGTCCCCTCCCCCCCCCCACCTCGACTCCCGTCGCGCCTTTATGGAAACGTCAACAAACAGGAAATCGGCGTCTTCTGCTCAGTACCGATTACCGGTAACACTTTCCCAAAATTTATCATAGGATTTGAAACAGAATTTTAGAGTGTTATAAATTAGCGTAGCTTCTTGATATTACTCGCAAGGGAAAGTGCTTGATGGTTTCCGGCGTTTCCGGCATGTTTCCGGAGTGTTGAATTCATGGAAGTAATTGAATTATTCTGTCCCGGTCATTATAGAAGGTTAGTGCGCTCCAGTAGCTCCATTACCCACACAAGTTATTGTAAGTTGTAAGTAAATGATGCCCGTTCCGTTAAACTTGGCCCACTGTACGCTTTGTTGAAAAGGTGTTGAATGGGTACATTCCTCCCTTCCATAAGCAGTATGTTAAATACTGGTGTAGGTCTATTTGCAAGTGGGTACTGTCAGTGTATTATCGTATAACATATATTTTACCCTAAATTATTTTTGTCGAACAGCACTTCTGGTTGGGGTACGGACTTTCATTGTCAACTGAGGGTGTTAGCTTGTGTAATCCCCTAATCAATCAATCAATCAATCAATCAATCAATCAATCAATCAATCAATGTGCGTTGCATCTAATTTGCAACTGCCATATACTGTCCTAATAATTGTGGGAAAGGTATCTGGGAGATGTGCACAGCCTACATGTGCAGAGGAATATGTAATGTACACTTAATTCTTTAGTCCAGTGCCAAATTAGTTG